CAGCTTGATTTAACCGTTGGAACTAACTATAACCAATACCTAATTATGGTTAAGTGTGGGGAGTCAGATGGAGACGTAGCATTGTACCGTGACACTACATTTCTGCCAGGAATATTTTTGGGTTTCAGTTCTTCTTTAAAAGACAATTTTTTAAAAATAGGTTACTATTAACAAATTCTGAAAACGTTAACTAAAAAAAAAAACAAACCAAAAAAACCAAAGAACGGGTCTGAAAGTTTAATTTAAGAGTGTTAAGATTCTCCTATTGTTCAGTCAATTTTTGAGATGATCTTTTCCATTTCAGAGAGAATGGCTAGCACATTACAAAGAGGAGCAATAAAATTGTCTACATGCAAAGTGCTGTCAAAAGAGAGGGTGGGGAGGGGGAAGAAATATTTTTCTCCCCCTTAACTTCTTTCAGCTACAATAAACCTAGGTGTTTATGTGTACTAACAGCAGTAAAAATATTTTTCAGGTGCAAATGCAATTGTTTCTTTTATGGCCCTGATTCAGCAACGTAGATAAACTTCTGCCTAACTTGAAGCATGTTAAGTACTACCATTGACTTTAATGGGGTTACTCATGTGCTCAAAGTTAGGCACACGTTTAAGGGGTCTGCTGTACTGCATCCACAGTTTGCAGTATTTAAAGGAAAAAGAGATAACTCATTCACAATAGCCATTCTGGGGCTGATCAACAATCCTACAGAGTCAAAGGACCTTATCACAACACATAAATGAGGAAACACAGTGAGAAAAAAATAAACTGGCCAAAAAAGTACACCATTCTGTAAGAAAACAAAGATCCAGGGAAGTGAGACTACCAAAAATCTTTATCAGGTTAAATGTGAAACAGAGATTACGAAGAGCTACAGATCAGAAATAGGAAGCTTGTTTTTCTTCTGTCCCCCCTATCCTTGCCCAGGTATGATTTTCTCTGGCTGAAATATGAAAAGTAGATTTTTTTAAAATATCAAAATAAAGGAAGGTCCACAGGAGAGGTAGTAAGTCCATTAGAACCCCAATACAAAAGGATAAGATTGTTTCATAAAACTAAATTATTTCTTTACATGAGCCTTCAGAGACAAAGATGAGAATACCTGTCTTGGGATTACTCTTTCCACATAAAACAGAATAAGGCTAGAAACAGAAAGGTTAAAAAAAAAAGTTTGTTAAATTAAAATGGCAATAAAGACACTATTTCTTCAGGTAAATTAACTGCATGATGAAGACATCAGCTGTTCCCTGTAGGAGGAGATCCTGCCCCTGTCCACCTCAGGTTTGCCCCGAGGTGTTTGAGGAGGGCAGAAGGAAAGATAAGGCTTTGAGAAAAGTTCCAGATGCCCAAATCCTAGAAACACATGTCCCTCTTCTGTCCACAAAAGGGGAAAGCCCCAAACCTCTGCAGTGACTAACCAGTGTGCCTCAGCCCTGATGCAAAGGCCAGGAGGAGCAGCAAGAAAAACCTGTTTCTTGTCCACAACTGTTTGATTATAGACTCATCTGCAGAAATGCTAACTAGTGCCATCTACAGTGACATTTTTTTGGGAGAGGAGAAGTCAAGCGTTAAGACAGAACCAACTCTGGCTGCATAGACTTCTGAAAAGCTGTCAGCTGCCAGCATAGCTTACAATCACAACTCACCCCTGGACACATTTCAAGTTAGGGATGGGTGCCGTGATATATCCTAACCCTTTAAACTACCCAATCATTTAAGTGACCAGGCTTGATCTTGGTTCCAATAGTGACTTATTACAAAATCATTTAAGGAATATTAGGACATCTTTAAGGAAAAAACCAAAACACTACCCACACATCAGACATTGAGTAATTCTGTAGACACCTTAAGAAAAATCGCCTGTCTTACTTTAAGTTGCTTTCTGTGTATTACTTAAAAAAAGTGCTGAAGTAACCCACTGAAAAACAAGATACTCTTTATATGGAAATGGAGCTCCGTTCAAATCTGTGTTTTCATAAGATGCTTCAGGACTACCTGGATTGCCTCCAGGTTAAGCCATACATGCTTACAGTGCTGTAAAGTCATAATGATGCAATCGCAGTAGAGTGGTCAAATGCATATGAAGTGTGTATATAAAGTAAAACTAACTCACTGACTCTACAGATCTGCTCGTGTTGTAGCAGTTGCTTTTCTGATTCCATAAAGTATACTCTCCCACTTTATTTCTCCTCTTCAACCCAGAAGCTCTTTGTTTCTTTGTCTGTTCTTACCACCTATTTCTGATCAGTAGCCACAACCTACAATTGAAATGGAACAATGGTGGGGGTGAAGATAAAGTATCAAAACATCAAAGTTAATCCCCCCCAAAAGTGACATAAGTCACTAATTTCCACAGAAACCAGGACTACTTTCCTGCAAAACTCTTAGGACAAAAAGGAGAATATTCAAGACGAATCTTAACATGTATCAGTACATTGCTTGCCAAATAGGATATTCTTCACTTTTTATTTTTGTTATGGAGAACCAGCACGCATATTTTAGAGGAGATATTTTTATAGAAGGTAGTCCAAACTACAGCTGAACCAAAGACTACCACTCTGTTGCAAGATCTCTTCAAAAGTCACGTCCGTGGCTTGGATTCCCCTGTTGAATAGAAATGTTCCAAATCTGCTTTTGCACCAAACCAAAGCTGTTTGTTTCTGCCTTGGCTTCCATCTTGGGCCATCTCGGTATGAAAACAGACGGTTTTCACAGCACACACTCACAACTGAAGACTATTTGCATTGTCTCTCTCTATAAAAGAGTAATACCATCACCTCTCCTTTGGATCTGCACACCGGAGCGAAGAAAAAAAAAAAAAAGCTTTTGTGACCTACAAAAGCCTTACTTGAAATAATTCTCTACGACTTGAGGCCTTTTGGAATGGAAGGGATATATTGTTTTGACTTGATTAAAGCTGAAAAGTTGATTTGACATCCTGTTGTCAAGGAAACCAATTCACACACAAAAGAAAACAGTTGTGATGGTATCATTCAGACTATTCAAGTGACCTTAGAAAGAAAAAAAGGCTTCAGTTCCAAAGATTTGTATTCAACTCACTTCACCACTGTAGAAATAAGGATCATTGCTCTTTATGCTTATTGGAAAGCAGTATTCAATCTGGAAAAAGCAAAATGCCACATCTCCTTCCAAGTGCCAGATCCAATAGTTTGCTGGGACCATACACATAAACGCACCTACCATTTATTGCCTGTTTCAAAGAACCACAGAAAGAAACACACAGAAGACGTATAGGGATGGAGAAGGAATTTCTTTAGGTGACAGGACCATGATAAATACCCCCCAACACATACCACACCTATTGAACAGCAGCTCACAAACCAGGTTTTAAAACATCCTTCTTCAACTACAAATAAAGCTTACCTCGAGCACAGTAATGTTTGAGCCCAGCTTTGTTTTCCTGGGAGATACCAAAAAGCAGCATTTTTTTCTCTGCCCACCTCCTCGATCCCTCACATGTTTTTCATGCATACAATAAATAGGACGTAGTTATGCTCAATCTGCTCACTCCTCCTACCTACAGCGTCCCAAAGAGGCAGAATTGTCCTGGCTGACCACTACCACCATCATCCAGCTTTGCAGCCCATGCAAGTCTCACAGAGGTTTTATTCCCTAACAGCTGTGGGTCGATTGGAAAAATGAAACTTTCTATCTATCCGCTCACACGCTGTAATTATACATTTCTTTCTCCAATGACATAGCCTTTGCCTGGCTGAGTGAGCAGACAGACGACTAAATAGCAACTTGTCTTGAATTCAGCTTCAAAAAAAATAGGCATGATATTAATAAGGAGGGAAATACACTGAGGAATGAATGCCAGTGTTCTTACATTATTGTCATTTAAGGGCATCACACCAAAGGTCACGGAGATAATAAGCCTCAGTCATTTTCCATTTGTTACACAACATACAAATTGCCACGGTGTTAATGAATATCTTTCTCCATTCCTGGCTAGCTAAGACACTGTATTATTTCCTCTTAGACAAGTACCTAACCCTTGGAATTCATTATTTCCATCACTTCTTGCAGCACTTTGTCCTTAGGGCTGAGCATAAATGCCACAAGGCGGCTGTGGCTGGAGCATCAAATGCTTCATATGGCTGAGCCTGACTTCTTTCTGATAGAGCTTTTTTGCTGGAAGAGCATACAAAGCACATTTATATCATTTATGATCAAATATGCACACACACATTCATATACGCTCTCTTACAAGTGTCTAAAACCCTTTGCAGAACATAGGGAAAAATTGTGACATAGTCTGTACTTTGTGGATATTGCTTGATACTTATATATTGAAATAATAGTTATGCTAGAAACACCAACTGACCACAACAATAGAAGCTACTATGAAATAACTGCATTTCCACTTAAAATGATGACAACTGGAAAGTAGTTTTTTGGAACAGAAATAACATTCACAGAAATGTGGAAGGGCTTGTATGAAGGGATATTACTGCTTAAACCCTCTTTGCTCCCAATAAACTGCTAAGATAGCACAACTGAGCTATAGAGAGAGGAATGCCTCATTTCTAAGCTGTACTTCATTGTATTTTAAGTTTAGGAATTTTGCATAAATATAGTTAGCAACAGCTGAACCAAATTCATACTATTTTATAAACTGAGGTTTTTTTAAGATGATAAATTATTATTTCTGCTGTTCACTGTAAGTATAAAGAATATGCAGATGAAAAGAGAATATTGAAGGCTGGTAGCTTTGTACAGTTCTGAAAAAGACTAAACTTTATGTACATAATTAAAATTAGAAAGAGAAGAATGATGTCCAACACCAAATGCTGAACTAAAATAAGCCAAGGTTACTTTCTGCACATAATCAAACAACCTCCACCTCTGTCCCCCAGACTGAAACACCGCACTCTGCATTTTGATTAATATCTTATCTTGGTATTTTCTCCTCTCCCACCCAACAAACCCAAAGAGCAAAGGCCAGAAAAGAAGAAAGCTGATGGCACTGCTAAGCTTACCCACAAACAGGTCCATACTCCGTTATGAGTTTTGTGTGATTTTCCCAAAAACCCTGGATAAAAGAAAAATAACAAAGTATTTTAGAATAGTCCTTAACAGAAACTCTATTATACAGTGTTGCTAACACTCATACCAAAGCTTTGAACCTCAATGAGAACCACAGTATTAACTCATAACCTCACCTTTCTCTCATTGTCCATCTGTGACAGTAGAGTCTAAAAATTATGACTAAAAAACAATCCCAACCCCCAAGAAGACCTGGAATGACTTGAAACATGTTTTCATCAGGGTTTTACACTCCAAAATATGTTACCATTTAATAATTTTTTTTTAAATACTAATTTCATGAATGGGGTCCTGACATAATTTTTTTCTGATCTGTGTGTGGATGGAAAAACTAATAGAGAAATTAATAACAGAATAAGTATATGTCTCAATACACACAAGAGAAACACAGGGAACATGGAAAGGTTGTCTTGTTTTGGTTTTAGTTACATTGTTAAAAAAACCCCAAACCTGCAAAGTTGGAGTTTAGCACAAGGCAGTCACCTGGGACACTCTGCAGAACAGTAAACAGATTTATTTTAACAAACTTTTAGAATTTTTACTGTGTTTTGTTTTCATAATTGATGAAAATTGGTATCCATTTATCTAAATAAACCTGCCACTATACTAAATTGTTAGTGTCCTAAATGAATTCAAATTGATTAATCTGAAAGAAGATGTGCAAAATGTATCCCCAAAAGTGAATATAAAAACCCCTGTTTTAACAAAACTGCGATATTTGAGAATCATACTGCATTGTGTTTGTAACTTGTCTATGGAAAAATAACACATTTGACTGCATTAATCTGTATTTATATTAATTCAAGAAAGACTATTGTGATCTATCTTCATTCTTCAGAGAAAATTCACTAACAAAGTAGAATACTTATGCCTCTTACTGAATCTTCCTTATTCTTTATGATATACTGCAGAATATTAGCTAGTACAATATGAACTATCGTAAATACATTAACCACAGACATAAATAAACAAGACCATGTAATGTGTGTATGCTTTGGGAGCATTTTACCACACTAAGCAAAAGAAAATCTGGTAATCAAAAGTAGTTATCCTACTTATCACCCTCGGGTGCTAATTTATCACCCAAATTAGCAAAGCACTTGCCACCACCTACGGTCCTCCTCTTACAGAGCCCTTCAACTGTTTTTTATTCTTAATACAGTTGTGCTTTTTTTTTTTTTTTAATCCTGGACTTGCAATATGTTTATTCTACAGGACAACATGCCTCCAGGTTAAGGCAAGAACTTTAGGTTTTCCTTAAGCTACAAAAAGCTGAAGCATCGGATAGCGTGTAAGAAAACACAGTAAAGATAAAATTATGAAAATGGTGGTTTAGATGATTGCCTGAAAAAAATATATTCTCACCTGAAAAATACTACTAAGGTAAGCAGAAAAGCCTCATCCATTAGCACACAGAAACTAAGGTGGACAAAGCCTTTGTGATACCACAAACACATACAGCTAACTCAGAGGCTTTTATCTGCAGACGGGAAAAGGTACATACGCATTCACACTGACCAGCATTTTGCTACAGCGATACTTCAGCAGTAGCAGGATTTCAGCCTGCAATTGCTATGATTTCAGCATTACAAAGGTTGCCTACTGCCTTCCCCTGCTGATACAAGGGGAAATCCTGCGGCCACATTCCCCCCAGCGCTATTCTCCAGGCAGCCATCTAAGGCTGCGTAAAGCAGGCTCCGCTCATCGGTGCGCTCTGACCGCTTTGCCTGGGAGAGTGACTCCAACCTGCGTAAACACAGCTGACATTTACAGCCCTGCTGAGGCACCAGCGCGATACAGGGTTCTGCTCGGGGTTACCGGGCAGAGTCGAACGCGGGGTGCAAAGCGCTGCTGTATCACACCGCTATCGGCTGCACGGGGCAGAGGGACTTCCAGTCTCGTGAGACGATGCCGAATCAGGTCTGCCCTCCGGCCCGCTTTCCTCCCAGCCTGGGCCGTCAGGGAGGACATCCCAAACCACAGCCTGAACCTTGCCTATGTTTTGCTTTGGATTGCGAGCACACGCGTAGGTATTGCACTTGCTGTATCCACCAGCTGCATTCCAGCGAGCCAGCAGGATATTAACATTTACAAGAAGCCTAGGCTTTAAATGATTCAGTGAAAAAGCCTTCCAGAAAGCCGGCTTCTTGGAAGCGCTGCTCCTGGCTCACTACAGTAGAGGGGTCAGGCAGAACACGTTTCAAATCAGGCCTGTTAACCAATAACTGGTTTTCCACCTCCAGCTCTCCTAAATGATTGCCCTGGCTTAAAATTAACCACGCTTAGTTTTTCTTCCCCAAAGTGAAAAGTACATCTGCAGGATGGGGGGAGAGGAGGAGTTGAAAAGTATCCGGGAGAGATTGCGAGACGGCATCCTCGTAAAAAAAAGCGCTCATTCTCCACAATCCAGGATACTTCCTCACGTCCCGCACCACCGCACACACATACACACCACTGCCTGCCCCCGCCGTCCACCCCGGGCCCCAGTGCTATCCTGGCCCCCTTCACGGGCACGGTGAGCACCCGGGAGTAGGTCTCGTCGGGCTGCCTGGGAAAGACAAGCAAACAGCAGACGCAGAGTGCGGTGAGGCTGCAGTGGCTGGGGCATGGGCAAGGCAGAGGGAACGCGGGTGTGCATCCCTCACAAGCCAAGGCAGGCCTTTCAGCTGGAGGAAGCTGGGGTTGTACGAAGGTACTTGTGTTTCTTCTCAATAGCCGTGCAGAAGGCCTATGAACCTGCGGTGGTCTCAGTACACAGTGAGGGGATATGCCACGTCCACATAGCTCTGCCCGTTTTGCAGTATCATCCCTGAACACAGCTTCCAGTAGACAGGTACCTTGAAAACATCCTCCTCCTCCTATGAGTCATGTTTGAAGCACAGCAAGCTTCGTAAGTGCTTTTGGTAACTTATTTACACTAGCTGAGGTCGATCTGCTCCAAGGCTCATTATTGCAGGCTTGTCCAGGTTTATAATTGCAATTGTACTTAGTACCTACAGGATAACTAAGCACCTGCCCACCAGCAGCAACTGTTTTACAAGAAAACAGAGGTAGAGACCTCTCTTTGACTCAAGATCACCCAGTGGGTAAACACAAGGAAAGGAAGCAAACTCAGAAATGGTGCCTGCTGACATGTACCCAGGGGCTTAAACAGCCATAAAACAGGAGCTATAATGAAGCAATGGGGGGGGGGGGGGGGGGTAGGAAGGGCATAATCAGGGAAAAATGGAAACATATGTATTCTGATTTTTTCGGAAAACAGAAGAAAACTGAAAAGCAAAACAACGCACGGTCTTACGAGATGACACCATGTGCATCAGGAGGAACTGTAGCACATTAAACAGTCACTCGTAACAATGAAGTGTAAAAGTATAGTCAGTAATGCTGTTCCAAATCAGAAAAATCACTTAGCTTTTTCTTTGTTTGGAAGCTGCAGAATATGGATTGTCATCAACAACTCAGAAAAGGGTTAGGGCAGGGGGGACTTGCTGTGTGTGGCCCCTACAGTGAGGTACCAGCCTGATGACAGCCCATTATCAAACATGATAATGCAGGAGTATGAAAAGCTCCTTTCCCTGAAGAAAGCATATTTTACAGCATCTGGTATACCATGGAAACAGCAGCTCAAGTGGGCTGACTGCTGCACACCCAGAAGGCTTCTTTGTTTACATGGCTGGCGGTTGCCTCCCTACAGGGAATTTGCATTCTCCTCTTCCTCTGAGCGCGTATCATCAGCTGCATCTGTGGGCAGAACCACTCGCAAGGCCAAATCCTGCTTTCAGGGATACGGGTGCAACCCCTATGGAAGGGAATAAGATTTGGGTCTGCATCAACCAGAACAAAGTCTGGTCATTGCCAACCATCTATCTTGAGATATCGAACGTTGAGGCTTCAGCTTGAGCAGTGCATACATGAAAGGGCTTTAGAGAGGGCTCCATTGGCTCAAGTATCCCCTTTCCTTTTTTCAATAGATTCTGCCACTCCAAGACAGATCCTTCAGCAGTTTCCCCCTTGTTGCATATTCACCTTGCTAGTTCCTCACAGCAAGAAAAAAATCTGCAGCAATGTCATCTTCCCTCCTTGCTGAAAACGGGTGTAGGCACTAAGCCAAAGTTTTCAGAAAAAGGCAGTAGTACCATGCATTTTGATTTTTGGGGTGTCTAACATGAGGCATATCCAACTTATTCTTACTAGTTGCTTGATACCTGCAGATCTTGTGGCTGCAAATGAGGACTTAAGTGACTTTAAGCTTAAGCTGAAGCTTAAAGCGACCCAGACTGTATGGAGGATGCTTTGTAACATTTCATCCTGCTGCAGCTGAAAAAAAAAAAAAATCACGTGGTTTATGAACTTAGCTGTAGTCCCTAAGAGTCACTAGATAAAATGGTTTGAAGAGGGCCATGAAGCTGGGATACAGCAGATGCATGCTTTTGACCGTAACTCAAAATCTGGACTCCAAAAAAGCGACCTTGAGAATGCAATAACGGTAGTCCTTGAATTTTGTAGGGTACTGAATGCCACAAAAGCTACTGAGCTGAGTGTGGAGATGGATATGGTGTGCCCATCAAAATCCACTGCAAGTGGGAAACATTACCCATGCAAGAATAGCCAAGGGAAAAAGGCTTCTTTTGTTGCCCCTTTCTGAAAAGCACCACATATTACTTGATGTCAGTCACTTACCAAGACAGCTTGGATTCAAACCTGTGATTCAGAGGCCAAAGACACCACATCCCATCACTAGTCCCATATATGCTACACCCTCACCACCCTGTAGTCAGACGTGATATTCTGCTTCACTGTGATATTAATAACCACAGCATCATTGTTTGAGTGCACACCTCATATCAAGAGACAAAAATCTATACAGTTATTTATGGTACATAATGACAATGAATGACATTTATGGATCAGAGTTTTAGTATTCAATAGGCTTCACATGTCTTTTTTTATTTAGACCACCTGGAAAAAAACAACTGCTAATAACCT